GGGGGGGGGGGGCAGCGAGAAAGAGGGAGGCCCTGATGAGGTGATGGACACAATGGGGCGGGTCCTGGCAGTGTTTCCTTCTGTGGTGCAGGGGTCGCGGTGGTTGGAGCCGACTCCATGGCACACAACTACCGCAACAACAACTGCTGCTGCTAGGTGTCCCCCCACCCCCACCCCTGGCACAATGAGCTCCCAGCGCTCCTGGGGCCTTTGCCCGGGCAGCGCCCATCTGCTGAGGGCTGGCGTCTTGGCAAATGGCTTCAGGCAGCCCCTCCTCTGTCCTCCTGGGCTGCCCACCTGCCACCCTGGGACACCCTCTGTCCTGGGCTGCCCACCTGCCACCCTGGGACACCCTCTGTCCCTCGGTGGAGCCCAGGACCGGGGACTCCACGCCAGCCCTGGCAAGCGAGCAGGGAGGCGGGCAAGGGAGGGTTTTCCAAGCTGCGCAGCATCCTGTGAGCAGATGCAAAACTCCTCTGCGCCTTTGTGCTACATTTTATTAACAGCAGATTGCAAGATGCTAACATTTTATCATGTCAGCTCTTGCATTTGAGCTAGCACAGGCTCCGGCCTGTCAGTAATTAGCTGCTGGGTGGCGTCTTTTCTTCCTCTTTTTTCTTTCCTTTTTTAAATTGGAATCAGAAAGTCTATCATTCTTTCTTTCTCCCGCTCTCTCTTTGTCTTGTTTCGTAGATGGAAGCCATGAAAATGCTCCGTGTGCACTTGGCCGGTTTTCCACATTCACGGGCAATTACTTTCCAGCTATAATCCACTCACCCAGCAGACACTGCGCTGCCCCCCAGGCTGGCAGCCACCCCCTGAAATAGCCACCCTTTCTCTCACCCCCCACTCAGGAAGACAGGGAGAAGACCCCCTCCGCGGAACAGTGGGAGATGTACCTGGCCGTATCAATAGTCGGCCTTTAAGTAATTCAACTTCTGTGCTTCTCTGGCTTTGGGTGTTTTTTTAAAAAATCATTTTATTTTGGGCTCATAGAATTCTTATCACCATCCATCCATC